ATCTGGTGCCTTCGGGAGGTAGAGATGTTTGAGATATATATATCTCGAACTATCTACTTCTTTTGTAAGGTCTGATGGCGTAGTGGGTTAAAGCATACTAGTTATGCCAGCTACTGGAAGGTAGTTGTGCTTTCTGGGTTCGAGTCCCACTGGTGGGTGTTGTCCAAAGATTGTTTATCTTCACTTGTGGTTTATGCAAGTATAGGCTTATAAGCTGGACACGAGTTCTCTCACATTGACAGTGGCTTGACGAAAATTGCAGACTGACCCCTCACTCATCTGGTGCCTTCGGGAGGTAGAGATGTTTGAGATATATATATCTCGAACTATCTACTTCTTTGTAAGGTCTGATGGCGTAGTGGGTTAAAGCATACTAGTTATGCCAGCTACTGGAAGGTAGTTGTGCTTTCTGGGTTCGAGTCCCACTGGTGGGTGTTGTCCAAAGATTGTTTATCTTCACTTGTGGTTTATGCAAGTATAGGCTTATAAGCTGGACACGAGTTCTCTCACATTGACAGTGGCTTGACGAAAATTGCAGACTGACCCCTCACTCATCTGGTGCCTTCGGGAGGTAGAGATGTTTGAGATATATATATCTCGAACTATCTACTTCTTTTGTAAGGTCTGATGGCGTAGTGGGTTAAAGCATACTAGTTATGCCAGCTACTGGAAGGTAGTTGTGCTTTCTGGGTTCGAGTCCCACTGGTGGGTGTTGTCCAAAGATTGTTTATCTTCACTTGTGGTTTATGCAAGTATAGGCTTATATATATATATATATATATATATATATATATATATATATATATATATATATATATATATATATATATATATATATATATGTCGTACCTAGTAGCCAGAACTCACTTCTCAGCCTACTATTCAAGGCCCGATTTGCCTAATAAGCCAAGTTTTCCTGAATTAATATATTTACTATAATTTTTTCTTATGAAATGATAAAGCAACCCTTTTCTCTATGTATGAGGTCAATTTTTTTTATTGGAGTTAAAATTAACGTAGATATATGACCGAACCTAACCAACCCTACCTAACCTAACCTAACCTATATTTATAGGTAAGGTTAGGGTAGGTAGCCAAAAAAAGCTAGGTTAGGTTAGGTTAGGTAGGTTAGGTAGACGAAAAAACATTAATTCATGAAAACTTGGCTTATTAGGCAAATCGGGCCTTGAATAGTAGGCTGAGAAGTGCGTTCTGGCTATTAGGTACGACATATATATATATATATATATGTCGTACCTAGTAGCCAGAACGCACTTCTCAGCCTACTATGCAAGGCCCGATTTGCCTAATAAGCCAAGTTTTCATGAATTAATGTTTTTCGACTACCTAACCTACCTAACCTAACCTAACCTAACTTTTTCGGCTACCTAACCTAACCTAACCTATAAATATAGGTTAGGTTAGGTTAGGTAGGGTTGGTTAGGTTCGGTCATATATCTACGTTAATTTTAACTCCAATAAAGAAAAATTGACCTCATACATAATGAAAAGGGTAGATTTATCATTTCATAAGAAAAAAATTAGAGAAAATACATTAATTCAGGAAAACTTGGCTTATTAGGCAAATCGGGCCATGAATAGTAGGCCAAAAAGTGCGTTCTGGCTACTAGGTACGACATATATATACATATATATATATATATATATATATATATATATATATATATATATATATATATATATATATATATATATATATATATATATATATATATAAACCATTTGACTTAAGCCTACCTCCAACCGGCCTAGATCCTTCAAGTACCCCCACACTACTTCTCCTAAAAATTTGGACGAGTCTAGCCCCAGACGTCTGGCCCACGACTTCAGACACTCAACAATAAACAGACATTCTCTCTTACACAATATATTTCCTCTGCAACGATTGCATAGTAGTCTGACAAGGAGAGCGAGTGAGTTTCCTGTCTTAACGAGTAGGTTTAGCAACAGAGTTCGTCTCGCCATTATCCAGCCTTAACCCAACCACCCACATACCCCCAACCAGCCCCTACCAACCTCCACCCCCCCATCAACCCCCTTAGGGAACCGCACCAACCTCTGGGCTCCAACATCCATAGCATTTCAAGAGCGCCAAGCAATTTTCCCCTTGGGCTTGAGCTATTGTTCCATCACCGTGTCAAATGTTATTGTATTGAAAATCCTTGATCCGCGATGAAAAAATACTTTGAAGAAGCTTCTCAGAGAATACAAATAGAGAGAGAGAGAGAGAGAGAGAGAGAGAGAGAGAGAGAGAGAGAGAGAGAGAGAGAGAGAGAGAGAGAGAGAGAGCTCTGTCAACACGTCTCTCCCATGCGATTCTTGCTTGTTTACGACCTCAGTCCCTTCACGAGCTTTGAGGAAACTGTGAAGCAAAAAAAAAAAAGTTTGGTAGGAATGATAACACGAAACGAAATAATTTAGAAAAGCAACAAATGCTTTCGCCCCGATGCAGTTAGTCCGGATACGTGGGTACAGATGATGAAGAGGATTCGGATAAGCCGGCAAGGTGAATAGAATCTTGTAAACGTTATTTTTAACGTTATTTATAAACTTAGTTCTGAATTTTACAGAGAGCTTCAGAAGGCAGTTATCAGTAACACGCAGGGAAAGGTTGAGACACGTTAATGCGGTGAAGTTATTTTCTCTAAGAATATTTTCTCTCTCTACAATTTGAAGAGATAGTTTTTCAGAGATGTTTGAGATGTGAAACTTGTTTCTGACGCCATATTTTTTATTACCTAGCTACCTAGATTGTACCTTTATTGTGCAACAAGCAACAGCCTGTTGGACCAAGCTTTCTCAAATCAAGTCTGGCTTCGAGCCGGGCTTGGGGAGTAGAAGAACTCTCAGAACCCCGTCCAGGTACAACCCCAGGTAGATAGGTTAATGAAAAATAGGTCGACAGAAACCCTTCACACATCTCAGAAACTCTGAAGTTAATGCTGATCTCCGCTGACATCTAGTTCAGTCTCATTGCCTCTTCGACCCTCCACATATATGACAGGTTATTTTCAAGCTATTGAGGTGTGCAGTTTAAAATATTTACAACATGGGGATGAACCTCTATTGCCTCCTTCTAGTGCTCGGGAAGCTCCTCATTTGGCTTGGGACCTCCCCATGACAATGTAGTGGTGGCCCGTGTAGCACGAAAATTTAATGCTAATTATGAAATTGGCAATTATGCAAATTCTTTTACCCAAATCAGAAAAGATGTTGCACATCTTACTGTCTGCCGCAATTTTTCTCTCTTATATTCATCATTTAATAACGTTACAGCAGACGTTCAAAGTTTCTCTTTAATTAAAGAACACGACATTTACTCGTGTGAAAGTGTCTGAAAGGGTGATCCCTCAGACTCCTTACTATTGTACTTAGCCATTAACGATGTCATTGATAGTTCTTCCAGCGAGCTCAATATCTAGTTCCTTGAGTATGACAGACATGCCGATAACCTAGGTTCTCTCTCTAAGGACATTTGTCAAGATGCAAAAGCACCAGTTAGAGGGATAGAAGCTTTAAACAAGAAAATAATCAACCCGGAGTATGCAGTCATATTCAATGAAACATGAGAAAAAATATTGTGCAAAGATTGCGCGAAAAAAGCTTATGAAACCTCTGGAGCAAAAGAATTTGTAACACAACATCAGTATGGGTTCAGGGATGGCAAATCATGTCTCATAGGATGAATTGAATTTTACGACCAGGCAATGAGTGTAGAGGCGTCACCATTGGAGCCCCACAACAGCCTGGAGTCCATACCGAGTTAAACACAGTACAAAGTTAGAGAAGATTCAGCGGTACGCCACCAGGTTCATCCCGGAACTGAGAGGTATGAGATACGAGGAAAGGATAAGGGAGCTGAACCTCACGTCTCTGGAAAACAGAAGAATAAGGGGAGACATGATAACCACCTACAAAATTCTCAGAGGAATTGGCAGGGTGGACAAAGACAAACTCTTTAGCACGGGTGGGACACGGACCAGGGGACACAGGTGAAAATTTAGTTCCCAAATGAGCCACAGAGATATTAGAAGAACTTTTTTAGTGTCAGAAAAGTTGACAAATGGAATGCATTAGGAAGTGATGTAGTAGAGGGTGACTCCACACACAGTTTCAAGTGTAGACATGCTCACTCTTGGTATAGGGAACAGCTTATGCCCGATCATCGCAGGATAATCCTGCTAGTGTATATGTGTATGCATTACGAAGTGAGGAGGTGGAGGCAGACTCCATAGTTTCAAGTGTAGATATGATAGAGTCCAGTAGGCTCAGGTATCTGTACACTAATTGATTGATAGTTGAGAGGCGGGATCAAACAGCCAGAGCTCAACCCCCGCAAGCTCAACTAGGTGAGTACGGACGTATATACCCCCCCCCCCCTCAATAACCAATACAATTCCCCATAATGAAACCAATCAAATCATTTCAATAGATTTTATTTGCTATAAGAAGAAACTTTGTTCTTCATCACCACCAAGATGGACCAACACAGGGCCCTCACAGACGCGCCAAAGTCGTGTCACAAACACTCCCGGTAATCAACCGATCAAACAAGCGCCCAAAATAACCATCACACACAAAGACCTAAACACACTTCACATAAATTATTAGCACTCCATAATTTTATGAAATGCAGTCTATTTCGTGCTGATCACTAATCAAACACAAACATCAATAAACGTTGATAAAATAACAATAAAATTAAATAAATATAAATAACAAATAAATTAGAAAACATTAGCATATACCCATAAGCTATAGAGTTGTAGTTATATTTATACTGCAGAATGGACGTTGTTGTTTAAGAAAGGTTTCAAACCTGTTTTATTTTATGAAAGCCTGTAAAATCCAGATTATTAACATTGGATCACGTAGTTGAATCCCTTATCGCGGCCCTTGCTCTACAGTTTGGGGTTGTTGAGCAAGTGGGTTTTATAGAGTTCTTGGCAGTTGGGGCACCGCCTGTTGTTTAGCTCCAGATTATTGCGGCTATGTTGTTAAACCCGAGGTTGTGGTAGCTCCTGTTGTTAAACCCGAGGTTGTTGTCGCTCCTGTTGTTAAACCCGAGGTTGTGGTAGCTTCTGTTATTAAACCCGAGGTTGTTGTCGCTCCTGTTGTTAAACCCGAGGTTGTGGTAGCTCCTGTTGTTAAACCCGAGGTTGTTGTCGCTCCTGTTGTTAAACCCGAGGTTGTGGTAGCTCCTGTTGTTAAACCCGAGGTTGTTGTCGCTCCTGTTGTTAAACCCGAGGTTGTGGTAGCTCCTGTTATTAAACCCGAGGTTGTGGTAGCTCCTGTTGTTAAACCCGAGGTTGTGGTAGCTCCTGTTATTAAACCCGAGGTTGTGGTAGCTCGTGTTGTTAAACCCGAGGTTGTGGTAGCTCGTGTTGTTGAACCTGAGATCCTGGTATCTCCTGGTAGAGAATCTGTCGCTCCGGAACCGCCTATTAATGAATTCAAGGTTGTAAGTTCTTCTGTTGCAGAGCTCAAGGTGGCGAGGCACTTCAGGCTTGCACCGATGAAAATCATTCTGTTAAATAAGTTGAGTTTATCCATCGGAACATTTGTCCCGTTGTACAGTTAGTTTGTATTATAGTGTTCAAAGTCATCTGAACACGTTCCGTTGTAAGATCAGACGACTAGGGAAGGGAAGGGATCTATCAGGGGGGAGAGAGCCAAGCGATTACGAATATATAGCACTGAGAAGAGGTCAGGATAAGGACTTGGGATTGGACAGGGGAAAGGAATGGTGCCCAACTTCTTGGACGGTCGGGGATTGAACGCTGACCAGCATGAAGCGAGACCGTCGCTCTACCGCCCAGCCCAAGTGGTTAGGCAGTAGGCTAGAAAATGATCGTTTAGGCACGATTGACGCCAAAATTGTTAATTTGCGCCAGTAACGCTAAACTTTTTTTCTGCAAAGAATCAGCAGCATCCAGTATAATTGCCAGTGTTTCGTTTGCTGTGTCTATGGCCACAAGCACGTCGTTCCTTAAGGCACCAGTAGGCTCTTCTTTCCCTTCCAACACTGCTACCGCCAATTCCAGTATCGATATTATCCACTCATTGACGTCATTCAGCAGGATGACAATCGTGGTCACGTCTTCTTTGCGGATGGCATCCTGGAAATCTACGAAGAGCATTGTGATGACTTCGATTTCGCTGTGGGAGCTGCGACCTCGACTTTCCTCGTACTTGTCGTTGATGATCTTGAGCAAGTCCTTCAGACTTCGAATTAGCCGGTTAAATAACTTAAGGCAATCAATGAATGTTAATCTCTTGCTAAGCATTTGATCGTACTGGCGGATAAGCAACGCTTTTGTGTCGTAGTGGGTGGAAGCGTTGGAGGGTTTATCGAGGTGGTGGTTTAGCGGCGCCTCTGTGTCGTGGTGGGTGGAGGCGTTAGACGGCTCTTCGTGGTGGTGGTTTAGCGGCGCCTTTGTGGCGTGGTGGGTGGAGGTCTTAGACGGCTCTTCGTGGTGGCGGATTTGCGACGCTTCTGTGTCGTAGTGGGTGGAGGCGTTGGAGTTCTTCCCCGAAGTCGAGGAGCCTGGAGGTGTGCGCGCGGCAGAATCTGTACTATTGAGCTCTAAACTTTTGTGGTGGAGCGTCTTGGCTAGTTTGTTTTTCCTTCTGGGGGGAATGTAAGGCTTTACCTTGGTGTTTATACCTGGTGTGTTTGGCTTTATGGTGTGCGTGTTGGCCTTCTTGCCTGGTATATTGGGCTTTATTGCGATTATATTTTGCTTTACTGTAGGTTTTATTATTGGTTTTATTGCAGATATGTTGGGTTTTGTGGCTGGTATGTTTAGCTTTATGAATGGTAACTCAGTTTTGTTAAGTTTCACAGATGCTATGTTGGGTCCGATGGTTTTGTTGAGTCCTGTGGGTCCTGTATTGAGTTCAGAGGCTGCGGCTCCTGGTTTAGAGGCTGCGGCTCCTGGTTTAGAGGCTGCGGCTCCTGGTTTAGAGGCTGCGGCTCCTGGTTCAGAGGCTGCGGCTCCTGGTTTAGAGGCTGCGGCTCCTGGTTCAGAGGCTGCGGCTCCTGGTTTAGAGGCTGCGGCTCCTGGTTTAGAGGCTGCGGCTCCTGGTTTAGAGGCTGCGGCTCCTGGTTCAGAGGCTGCGGCTCCTGGTTTAGAGGCTGCGGCTCCTGGTTCAGAGGCTGCGGCTCCTGGTTAAGAGGCTGCGGCTCCTGGTTTAGAGGCTGTGGCTCCTGGTTCAGAGGCTGCGGCTCCTGGTTCAGAGGCTGCGGCTCCTGGTTTAGAGGCTGCGGCTCCTGGTTTAGAGGCTGCGGCTCCTGGTTTAGAGGCTGCGGCTCCTGGTTTAGAGGCTGCGGCTCCTGGTTCAGAGGCTGCGGCTCCTGGTTCAGAAGCTGCGGCTCCTGGTTTAGAGGCTGCGGTTCCTGGTTCAGAGGCTGCGACTCCTGGTTCAGAAGCTGCGGCTCCTGGTTTAGAGGCTGCGGTTCCTGGTTCAGAGGCTGCGACTCCTGGTTCAGAAGCTGCGGCTCCTGGTTTAGAGGCTGCGGCTCCTGGTTCAGTGGCTGCGGCTCCGGGTTCAGAGGTTGCGGCTCCGGGTTCCGAGACTGCGGCTCCTGGTTCAGAGGCTGCAACTCCTGGTTCAGAGGCTGCGGCTCCGGTTTCAGAGGCTGCGGCTCCGGGTTCAGAGGCTGCGACTTCTGGTTCAGGGACTGGGGCTCTGGGTTCAGTGGCTGCGGCTTCTGGTTCAGGGACTGGGGCTCCGGGTTCAGTGACTGCGGCTTCTGGTTCAGAGGCTGCGACTTTTGGTTCAGTGGCTGCGGCTCCGGGTTCAGTGGCTGCGGCTCCGGGTTCAGAGGCTGCGGCTTCTGGTTCAGGGGCTGGGCCTTCGGGTTCAGTGGCTGCGGCTTCTGGTTCAGTGGCTACAGCTTCTGGTTCAGTGGCTGCGGCTCCGGGTTCAGTGGCTGCGGCTCCGGGTTCAGTGGCTGCGGTTCCTGGTTCAGAGACTGCGGCTTCTAGTTCAGGGGCTGGGGCTCCGGGTTCAGTGGCTGCGGCTCCGGGTTCTGGGACTGGGGCTCCGGGTTCAGGGGCTGCGGCTTCTGGTTCAGGGACTGGGGCTCCGGGTTCAGTGGCTGCGGCTCCGGGTTCAGGGGCTGGGGCTCCGGGTTCAGGGGCTGCGGCTTCTGGTTCAGGGAGTGGGGCTCCGGGTTCAGTGGCTGCAGCTCCGGGTTCAGGGGCTGGGGCTCCGGGTTCAGGGGCTGCGGCTTCTGGTTCAGGGGCTGGGGCTCCGGGTTCAGGGGCTGTGGCTTCTGGTTCAGGGGCTGGGGCTCCGGGTTCAGGGGCTGCGGCTTCTGGTTCAGGGGCTGCGGCTTCTGGTTCAGGGGCTGCGGCTTCTGGTTCAGGGGCTGCGGCTTCTGGTTCAGGGGCTGGGGCTCCGGGTTCAGGGGCTGCGGCTTCTGGTTCAGGGGCTGCGGTTTCTGGTTCAGGGGCTGCGGCTTCGGTTTCTGAGGCTGTGGCTTCTGGTTCAGGAGCTGGGGCTCTGGGTTCAGGGGCTGCGGCTTCGGTTTCTGAGGCTGCGGCTTCTGGTTCAGGGGCTGCGGCTTCTGGTTCAGGGGCTGGGGCTCCGGGTTCAGGGGCTGCGGCTTCGGTTTCTGAGGCTGCGGCTTCTAGTTCAGGAGCTGGGGCTCCGGGTTCAGGGGCTGCGGCTTCGGTTTCTGAGGCTGCAGCTCTGGATTCAGAAGCGGCGTCTCGGGGTTCAGAGGCTGCGACTCCGGGATCCGAAGGTGCGGCTGCGGGTTCAGAGGCTGCGACTCCGGGATCAGAAGCTGCGGCTCCGGGTTGAGTGGCTGCGGCTGCGGGTTCAGTGGCTGCGGCTGCGGGTTCAGTGACTTCGGCTGCGGGTTCAGTGACTTCGGCTGCGGGTTCATTGGCTGCGGCTGCGGGTTCAGCGGCTGCGGGTTCAGTGGCTGCGGCTGCGGGTTCAGTGTCTGCGGCTGCGGGTTCAGTGGCTGTGGCTGTGGGTTCAGTGGCTGCGGCTGCGGGTTCAGTGTCTGTGGCTGCGGGTTCAGTGGCTTCGGCTGCGGGTTCAGTGTCTGTGGCTGCGGGTTCAGTGTCTGTGGCTGCGGGTTCAGTGGCTGCGGCTGCGGGTTCAGTTGTGGAAGAATTACCAGAAGGACCTTGCGCTGGCGTGATGGGAGATGACTCTGAAATTATTTAGAATGTTCGTTAATTATTTCTGAGATCTGTTTTCCCCTGACAACAAAAATAAGTTAACCTTCAAATCTGATTTAGTTTTCTTAGTTTTTTTCTTGAAATTACACAAGTAGATCTAATTAGCTGAAGCCATTAAATTGAAGATTTAATCTAGAATTAAATAACTAGGCCTAGTTTGCAGAAGTGTTTTTGTAATATACTAAAAAAATATGTTTTTTTGTAATGTATGAGTATAAATTAAGCTTAAATAATAATATATTATTTTGAATAGTTTTACCTTCGTCAGGTAAGGTAATTTAATATTAGGTTAAAAATTGTGATTTATGACCTGATTATACTGATGTGGTTTATTTTGATTATATATAAAAAATACAGAATTACCCGGAAATAATGTTTAAATTCTGTGTACTGAAACTAGTATATCTAGCGACCCCTTAGAATTTATCGGGGTAACTACGATATATGAATGAGGCCCCTCGAACACCTTCAATAAACAGGTAAATGGTAAAAATAGGTTTCATAAATTATTTCATATATGACTATTTTTGTCATATATAATAAATATATATATATATATATATATATATATATATATATATATATATATATATATATATATATATATATATATATATATATAAAGAATTAGAGTGAATAACAAAGCTGCTCAAGAGAGTGAAAAAAATCAAGAGGCACTGTTACCAACCTTCACTTGCGAGGCAGCACTCACACTTCCGGCCTCTGCACTTATGAGGGACAACTTTGGTGGTACAAGTGTTCAAGCGAGTGCACTCACCCCCAAGCTTAGTACAAGCTTTCTTCGGCTTGCAGCTCTTAATCGCTGTTTTGGAAAGCTTCTCATTCTTTCCTTTGCGTTTCTTATTTTTCTTATTTTGCTTCTTGTTTCGTGATTTTTTGCGTTGTTTGCCATCTTTGCGTTTCTTATTTTTGGAGCTTTTTTTGTCTTGCTTCTTTCCCTTCTTGCCTTTCTTGGTCCTCTTTTTTTTCTTATTCTTCATGTTTCTGTTACCTTTTCTTTTCTTAGTCCTCTTTTTTTTCTTATTTTTCATGTTTCTGTTACCTTTTCCTTTCTTGGCCTTCCCTTTTCCTTTTTTCAAGTTTCCCAATGCATTCTTTTGTTTTTTCTTATTTTTGGAACGTTTACTATTCTTTAATCCCTTTTTCCCTTTCTTATTTTGCTTCCTTTTCCTTTTAGTCTTGCTTGTAATGCCTTTTCCTTTCTTAGCCTTGCCTTTTTTACTTTTCAATTTTCCTGAAGCATTCTTTTGTTTGATTTTATTTTTGGAGCGTTTCCCATTCTTTAATCCGCTTTTCCTTGTTTTATTTTGCTTCCTTTTCCCTTTGGTCTTGCTTTTTCTGGTTTTTCCTTTCTTAGCCTTGCCTTTTCCAGTATTCAGTTTCCCTGATGCCTTATTCTTTTTCTTTGATGAACTTTTGCTCTTTTTCAGACCTTTTTTTCCTTTCTTGTTTCGCGTTCTTTTCCCATTACCTTTTCTTTTTAGGCCTTTTCCTTTCTTTCCCTTGCCTTTTTTAATTAGATTTTTTCCTGAAGCATTTTTTCGTTTCTTTTTATTTTTGTCATTCCGTATTCCTTTTTTTCCTTTCATTTTCCGATTTCTTTTTCCCTTAGCAATGCTTTTAATGCCTTTTTGGTTTTTAGTCTTGCTTTTACGAGTTTTGAATTTTCGTGGTGAAAGATTTTTTTTATTTTTTGATCCTTTGCCTTTCTTCAGTTTTCTTTTCCCTTTCTTGTTTCGCTTCCTTTTCTTATTGCCTTTTCCTTTAAGGCCTTTTTCATTCTTCGTCTTCCCTTTTTTATTTGTCAGTTTTCCTGAAGCCTTCTTTTGCTTTATTTTGTTTTTGGAACCTTTGCCATTTTTTAATCCTTTTTTCCCTTTCCTGTTTCGCTTTCTTTTCTTATTGCCTTTATTTTTAAGACCTTTTAGCTTTTTGACACGTCCCTGTTTATTTTTCAATTTTCCTAAAGCACTCTTAAGTTTCCTTTTATTTTTTGAAGTTTTGGTTTTCTTCAGTCCCCCTTTCCCTTTCTTGTACTGCTTCTTTTTTCCCTTTCTCTTCCTTTGAAGACCTTTTACTTTTTTTGTCTTGCGTTTTCCCGTCTTTGAACTGTCTGCAGCATTCTTTTGCTTTTTCTTATTGTTGATGCTTTTGCTTTTTTTAAGTCCTTTCTTACCTTTCTTCTTATTCTTCCTTTTCACGTTGCTTTTTTGTTTACTGCCCAGCGTCTTTTTAATAGTGTTTTGTCGAGTTTTAACGTTTCCTGTTGCATTCTTTTGCTGCTTCGTCTTATTTTGGGGATTTTTGCCTAGTTTTCTTGCCCTCTTCCCACTTTTGTTTATCTTCCTCTTTCCCTTAATGTTGCTTTTAATGATTTTGTTGGAATTTGATTTGCTTTTTGTTCTCCTTTTCTTCTGCCCAAGTTTCCTTGTGGCTGATAATTGCTTTGGCCCCTTTTGTGGACCTTGAGTCTTGTTAAGCGGTCTCTTGCGTGAGCCTTTGCTTCTCTGCCTCTTGGATTTCGGCCTCTTGCGTGAACCTTTGCCTTTTAGGCTCTTGGTCTTTGATCCTTTGCGTGAACCTTTGCCTTTTAGACTCTTGGTCTTTGATCCTTTACGTGAGCCTTTGCCTCTTTGACTCTTAGTCTTTGGACCCTTGCGCGAGGCTTTCCCTTTTTGACTCTTGGTCTTCAGTCTCTTGCGAGAGCCTCTCGCTCTTTGACTCTTACTCTTCGGACCGTTCCTCGAGCCTTTAATTTCTTGCCCTCCTGTGGGCACTGGCCTCCTGTTAAGACCGTTTTTCACACTTTTGGCCGCCGTACCGTCACCTCCTCCCTTAACACGAAGATCTTCGTTTTTATTAACAAAGGGACCTCTTCCTTTCTTTTGAACAGGGAGACCCGTTCCATTTTTCCGAATACGAGCACGTCTTCCTTCTTTCTGAGCAAGGGAACCTTTTCCTTTTTTCTGAACAGAGGGACCAAGTCCCTTTTTTCGAATAAGGGGATCTCCTCCTTTTTTCTTTATAATGGGACTTCCTTCATTTTTTTTAACCGGGGGACCACCTCCTTTTCTCTGAATACGGGAATCTAACTCTTTCTTGGGTCTCTGACCTCCCACATTTGGTGACCGGAATCCTTCTCTCAGTTTCTCGCCAAATTGAACTTTCGTTATGTTTCTACCACGAGGTCTTCTTTCAGCGGCCCTGATGCTGCGACCTCCTCTACCGCCATCTCCATCTTTAACAAGAACAGCCAGTATATTCTTACGAACTCGGAGTGTCCCATCCGCTTGGTTTGGCTGATCTTGCGCAACTTGCTTCCCAACAACACCTTCCTGAGGAAAAGATAAGTGGAATAACAAGATGTTTAACAGTGATAAATTCCAGGTCCTTAAGTATGGTAAAACTGAAGAACCTAAAAAAAAAATACAGGGCACAAAAATAATCAAATCTGCCCATAGTAGGAAGGCAACGTGTAAAGGATCTGGGAATAATGACATTAGACGACCTGACGTCAGGAGGAAGAACAGTGAAGAACAGGTAAGGATTCTGAGAATATGGTGTGGACAGGTACACAGAGAATGATAAGGAAGTGTGTGAAGAACTCAACAAGAGATTCCAGGAGGTCTTCACAATAAAACAAGGCGTAGAGTTGGCAATAAACCACACAGCTTTGGAAAATGTTGGAATAACCAGAGATAAGGTTAAGAGGTATCTGCTGGATCTGAACGTGACAAAAGCTGTTGGACTTAAGAGAATCTTACTATGGATACTAAACGAAGGTACATATAAGCACTTTGCAGTAGAGCTCTCTATAGTGTATAATAAGTCACTGGAAACAAGAGCCCTACCACAGAATTGGAACACAGCTAACGTAGTTCCAATATATAAAAATGGTGAGTAGCAAGGGGCATTGAACTACAGACCAGGGTCCCAAAATTTTATGCCATGCAAGATAATGAAGAAGATTGCGAAGAAAAAATCTAGAAGCAAATGTGGAAAAAAGGACTTTGTAACATACCACCAACATGTGTTCTGGGAAGGTAAATCGTACCTCACAGGGATAATGGAGTTCTGTGACCAGGTGATAACAATTAAGAATGAAAGAGATGGGTGTGCAGACTCATTTTCTTGGACTGTCAGAAGGACTTTGACACGACGAAGCGTGTATTATATCCATATTTTATTAAGTACCCAATAAAAAGCTGGTGCGTAAGTTCGAGAAACAGACAGGGATTTGACAGGTAGGATGTTCCAGTGGATAAGGAAGTACCTAAGCAACAGAAAACAGAGTTACTGTAAGGGGTGAGACTTCAGAATAGTGAGATATCACCTGCCGGGTCCTTCAAGGGTTTTGTACACGGACCTGTGATGTACGTCAATTACCTCCTAGAGGGTATAGACTCATTCCTCTTATTGTTTGATAACGATGCAAAAATTATGAGGCGTAAAAGGTTTAATAGAATTGTATGACCAAGCAATAAGTATTAACGAAGAAAGAGAATGATGGGCAAACTGCATTTTCTTGAACTGTCTGAAAGCGTTTGACACAGTACCCCTAAGAGACTGTTTCATAAGTTGTAGAAGCACGCTATAGTAAGTAGTAAGGTGCTCCAATGCATAAGGAAGTACCTACACAACAGGAAGCAGAGAGTTACTGTGAGGGGTGAGACCTCAGACTGGCGTGAAGTCACTAGTGGTGTCCCACTCGTACTTTGTACTCGAACCTATCTTGTTTCTGATATACGTGAATGATCTTCCAGAATGTATAGACTCATTCCTCTCAATGTTTGCTGATGATGCTAAAATTATGAGAAGGAATAAAACAGAGGAGGACTGAAAGAGGTTACAGGATGACCTGGACAGCTTGAAGGAATGGTCCAACAAATTTTAACACGGACAAGTGCAAAGTGATGAAGATATGCGTAGGGAGCAGGAGGTCAAACACAAGATACCAGCTGGGAGAGGAAATCCTTCAGGAGTCAGGAAGAGAGAAAGATCTTGGGGTTGATATCACACCAGACCTGTCCCCCCTAAAGTCATCATCAAAAGGATATAATCAACAGCTTATGCTATATTGGCCAACATAAGAACTGCCTTCAGAAACTTGTTTAAGGAATCGTTCAGGATTTTGTAAACCACCTATGTCAGACCAATCCTGGAGTATGCAGCTCCAGCCTGGAGTCCATACATAGTTAAACACAAGCCAAAGTTCGAGAAGATTCAGAGGTATGCCACTAGACTAGACCTAAAACTGAGAGGTATGAGCTACGAGGAAAGGCTAAGGGATCTAAATTTCACATCCTTGGAAAAGAAAGGAGTAAGGGGAGACATGATAACTACCTACAAAATTCACAGGGTAATTGAGAGTGTGGACAAAGACAACCTCTTTAGCAAGGGTGGAACACGAACAAGGGGACACAGGTGGAAACGTAATATCCTAATGAACCATACAGACATTAGAAAGAATTTCTTTCAGTGTCAGAGTAGTTAACAGGTGGAATGCATTAGGCAGTGATGTGGTGGAGGCTGACTCCATACACAGTTTCAAATGTAGATATGATAGTGCCCAGTAGGCTCAGGAATCTGAACACCAGTTGACTGACAGTTGAGAGGCGGGACCAAAGAGCCAGAGCTCAACCCCCGCAAGCACAACTAAGTGAGTACACACACACAAACACACACACACACACACACACACACACACACACACACACACACACACACACACACACACACACACACACACACACACACACACACACACACACACACACACGCACACACACACACTTATATTTATGCACGCGACCAATTTCCTCAGCTCTCCAGCCACCCACACACACTTCTTATCACTTCCTCCTGTCCCTCACTCCCCCACCTGCCCCTCACTCGCACCCCTCACCCCCCCCCCCTCCTCTCCCTCACCCTCTACACAACAGCTCCCACAATAGCCATTCCATATAACGCCCCCTCCCTCCCCCCCCCCCCTACTCCCTTCAACCTTTATTGCATTGCCCACTTCACCTCCCTCCACACCAATACACCTGTCACCCCCATTACTACACCTGTCCCCATCACACTACACCTGTACCCTCCGAACCACTGCACCTGAACCCCTCCTGTACCATTACACCCGTTCCCTCTACTACACTTTCTTTTTCACCCCTACACCAAAAATTGTAAGACAGAGAGATACTAGTAAAGTATTCTGAAGAGCATGTGAGGCATATTATATTTTCAAAGGATATAATATATTATATTATATCCTCAAAGGATATTATATATTATATTTTATTATATCCATATTATATCCACTTGCCAATTTTTCTCAGGCTATCAGAGACTTGAAGGGGAGAACAGGTGCCATCATGAGTGAATTTGGTCATCTTGAAACCTGGTCAAGAGTAAAGTTATTCAAAACTTCATTAGCTTGTATGGTTAGGAACCATGGGGACCCGCTTCAACATGCTGACCTTGGTAAGCCTACTTGAGTAAGGTGGAAATGTTCAAGACGTGTCTTAGGTGATCACCCTCGCACTCATTGCAGTCTCCACACGCACACTTGAACGCATCAGTCAAATGATACGAATGAGATCATTTTGTCTGTCAAGAATCATTCATCCAGCACATACAGGCGCTTCTTTTCTAAAGCACTAAGTTATTTTTGGACACTCCTGCTTCTCCAGTATATAACAAACTATTCAGGTGAAGGAAAGCAGGTAGACTGGATACTGGGTATTATGAAGGAACTACAGTCACAGAGAGACAGGATTACTGACAAGTGTGTTTGAGTCCTACTGAAGCTTGATCTATGTCGCATGAGCTGTGTGTTAGGCATGAGCTATGTCGCATGATGACTTGGATCGGAATAGTCCCGGGATTTGTTGATGCAGGATGCTGTGAGTGTGTAAATTTCTATAACTTCATAATGTGATTAGTTTATATTAGTTCTACCTCTAATTGCCATCTCGTCATCCAAACTTTGTGATATAAATTGTGCCAATATCTGTCTGCTCATTAGGGAAAACTCATATTGATTTACAATATATATTGTAAATCAATATATATATATATATATATATATATATTGATTTACATATATATATATATATATGTAAATCAATATATTTGATTGATTTGATATATATATATATATATATATATATTGTAAATCAATATATATATATATATATATATATATATATATATATGATATATATATATATATATATATATATATATATATATATATATATATATATATATATATATATATATATATATATATATATATATATATATATATATATATATATATATATATATATATATATATATATATATATATATATATATATATATATATATATATATATATATATATATATCTTACTTTTGTAATCGTATGTTAAACGTCACTCACTTTATACTACAACTGTAAATTTGATTAAATTGCTATACACCTGTTTAGTCCAACAATTCCTATAATGATTTGTTAAAGTTGTTATGAATTAATTTTCTGATTCTGATAATGACAATGACGACACGTTATGATGTTATTGTGACTCTTGAGTAATTATTGTACTCGCCTAATTCTACTCACCTAGTGTTTGCGGGGGTTGAGCTTCGGCTCTCTGGTTCCGCCTCCCAACCGTCAATCAACTGGTGTACAGGTTCCTGAGCCTATTGGGCTCTATCATATCTACATTTGAAACTGTGTATGAAGTCAGCCTCCACCACATCACTTCCTAATGCATTCCATCTGTTAACTACTCTGACACTGAAAGAAATTCTTTCTAATGTCTCTATGGCTCATTAGGATATTACGTTTCCACCTGAGTTCCCTTGTTCGTGTTCCACCCGTGCTAAAGAGTTTGTCTTTGTCCACCCTGTCAATTCCCCTGAGAATTTTGTAGGTGGTAATTATGTCTCCCCTTACTCTTTTGTTTTCCAGGGATGTGAGGTTCAGCTTTTTTAGCTTTTCCTCGTAGCTCATACCTCTCAGTTTCGGGACGAGTCTGGTGGCATACCGCTAAATCTTCTCTAACTTTGTCGTGTGTTTAACTAGGTATGGATTCCTGGCTGGAGCTGCATATTCCAGGATTGGTCTGACATAGGTGGTATACAAGGTCCTGAACGATTCCTGACAAGTTTTTTATGGGCAGTTTTTATGTTGGCCTACCTAGCATATGCCGCTGATGATATCCTTTTGATGTGGGCCTCTGGGGGACAGGTTCGGTGTGATATCAACCCCCAGAACTTTCTCTCTATTTGACACTAGCAGGATTTCACCTCCCAAATGGTACCTTGTGTTCAGTCTTCTGTTGCCTTCGCCTAATTTCATTACCTTACACTTTCCTGAGTTGAACTTTAGTAGCTATTTTCTAGACCATTTTGTCCAAGTCGTCCTGTACTCTCTGTCTATTTTCATCTTCTTGATTCTTCTCATAATTTTTGCATTATCAGCAAACATTGAAAGGAATGAGCCTATACTCTCTGGAAGATTGTTATAGACTCATTCCTCTCATTGATTGCTGATCTTGAATTTGTACTGTCATCTTTATGTAAAAGTTCCTAATTATAGATATACAACTATATACGAGTAAAGCTTTTCATATGGTGAATGGACTATACCCTGACACCACTAAACTCTCCCCCCACTCTACTATACGTCGTCACTCAATATCACTTCCATCGCCCCTTTAAAAAAAACTAAAATCTCCTCCCCACTACCAATCTCAACATCTATGGTCAGGACCTTTTCCCTTCCCTAATTGTCCTGAACCCCACCACCATGACAACCCTGAACTCTTCCTCAAAACCTGCAGAATTTACCCTCACCACCAGCCCTCACTCCACTAACTCTCGCACATGTATTCCAACCTGTCTGTCCTACAGCACTCAATAAGCAAAAATGTATGTTTTTTAAAGTTGTGTACACAAAGATCAACACTGTTTAAAAATATATATATATATGAGTAAGCAGAGTGAAAGGACAAATGAGAGGAACCATGTATAATCATCATCACAGAAACCAAACTATTTAACGTAATGAGAGATTCAATTTTTCAATGTGACTTTCACACTATGGATAGGTCAAAGAGATTCAAGAAAATGATACTAGCAAAATACAATGACTTTAGTGACTATGTTGTAGGTAGACAGACTATGCACTAATTACATCGGCTGTTGTCCGGGTGCATATATTATGCAGATCATACACAGACTAACCAAACAGCAGATACACAGACTATGCAGTGGATGCACAGACTATTCAGCAGGTACAAAGATAACATAGTGGGTACAGAGACTATGTAGAACATTGTAACCCATTTCTCAGCAACAAAGGGACCAGCAGAGTTGCCATAATTCTAATATAAGTGCAGCAAAAACCGAAAGACTGGACCATGGTCCGTGATCTTGAAAGACCTCAATGAAGTAATGTGGGTAAGTATTGTGTGATTTTGCATGTTTAATATTAATAATTAATATTAGAGAATAAATCCTCAACACTCTTTTAAAGTTTCAATAAGCTGGATATGAAACTACCTATCAAGATAATCATGGAAATACATTATACACCATAAGATCACGAAAATGTGATGTAACTATGAAGAAATATTGAGGCATAACTATGAAGAAATATGTGGCAAGATTGAAATCGTATCTCTGCACTCCGTAAGCACACGCTATAGAAGTACTTATGGTCTGGTAGTCCAGGGAGGACAGTTCGAGCCCATTGCATTGCCTCAACATTTTATCTTGAATGTGTTATCCTAACATTCAGAACATAAGAGGAAGACTGGATATCAGCTTAATAAAGTAAAGAAAATTTCATATTTGTTGAAAATAATTCATAAAATCACTCAACACTAGTCAAATATTGTACCTGTATAATTAGGAAAATGTTGGAGATTAACAAAGCTGCAACAAAAGCCCTCATGGTGGCGGTGGTCTCGCTCCTGACGGGGCTCTAACCGGAGACCACGTCCTCAAGCACACCAAACAACCCCCACCACACCAGGAACTGTACAGCCTCCTACGGCCTGTCTCTCGGTCGCTTGAAACACCAGCAGGAACCACCAGAGCCTCCACCTCTCACACTGCTCTTGTGTAATATGAAGCTTATCTATATGTTGTGAGGGGTGTAGAGGAAGCTTTATAACAGGTGCGGAGTTCAGCGGCCCCAATATACACAGGTGGTAGAGGTAGCGTGGTGCTCAATCGCTCCCCACGTAGCCGAGTTTGCGATCTCGCATGTGCTCCGCGAAGTTTATCGCTTATGCTGACGTGTATTACTGCAACATTTTACTCAAAAGTTGTATGATTTTGCATTTGGTAAGAGTAACTGTGATCATATAGGACATAATGACAGTACTCGCTAACCTTTTCAGTCGAGTTGCTCAAGATTTATAGACATGGTTTGTCACTCGCAAAACCTGCTCCACTTATCTGAAAGGCAGCTTTGTTTACCTCAGAGGCAGCTCTCTCTCTCTCTCTTACCGCAAAGGAAACTATGCTTACCGCAAAGGCAACTATGCTTTCAACAAAGTCAACTCTGCTTACCGCAAAGGCAACTTCGTTTACCGCAAAGACAACTTCGCTTACCGTAAAGACAGCTCCGCTTACCGCAAGGCAACTCCATTCGAAGTAAAGGCAACTCCATGAACTGAACAAATTGGAAGATAAACCAAACTTCACCTCCGTATGACCTTAGACACTTATAGGGCCAAGAGTTAAAAAAAATCTCCATTTTGTTTACCTTTAATCATTAACAAAATCAAAGATAATTCTTTTCCCGCTTCTTGTCTGATAAATTAAATACATAAGGCATGAATACCTGCTGACATGGAAGGTTCCTGGTCGCTGTAGTTGCCACTAAATTTACATATCAATATTCTTTCATAATTTTTGTTTATATGCCTCATCTTAATTGTGTTTTTATTATACATATGAAATACACATTATTTACAACGAAATAAAATGTCAAATCAGCTCACATATAATGTAGAAAAGTGATATTGAGTATTCTTTAAGTCAAATATTTAAAATAATGTAAACAAAAAATATATAAAGAGAAAACAGCCAAAATGACCAAAAATGGACTCAAATTTTGCGATATATATGAAAAAATTAAGACAGAGCAAGTGCCAAAGCTGAGACGCGGTATTTGTGAAAGATTAAATTAAGTTTGTATTTCAGATTAGACATTTTAAGGATGACTCGTTTGGTAATGTTATATAAATAATACATTCAGGAGAGATTAACTAATTGTCAGAGTCGTAGATGTGTTGTACTCACCTAGTTTTGTTTGCGGGGGTTGAGCTCTGGCTCTTTGGTCCCGCCTCTCAACGGTCAATCAACTAATGTACAGGTTCCTGAGCCTATTGGGCTCTATCATATCTACACTTAAAGCTTTGTATGGAGTCAGCCTCCACCACATCACTTCCTAATGCATTCCATTTGTCTACTTCTCTGACACTGAAAAACGTCTAACGTCTCTATGGCTCATTTGGGCACTAAATTTCCACCTGTGTCCCCTTGTGCGTGTGCCTCTTGTGTTAAAAAGTCTGTCTTTATCTACCCTATCAATTCCTCTGAGAATCTAGTATGTAGTGATCATGTCTCCTCTAATTCTTCTCTTTCCCAGTGACGTGAGGTTTAATTCCCGTAGTCTCTCCTCGTAGCTCATACCCCTCAGTTCGGGTACTAGTCTGGTGGCAAACCTTTGAACCTTTTCAACCTCTGGGATGAGTCTCGTTGCAATACCTCTGAACCTTTTCCAGTTTCCTTATATGCTTCTTCAGATGGGGACTTCATAATGAGGCGGCATACTCTAAGACTGGCCTCACGTAGGCAGTGTAAAGTGCCCTAAATGCCTCCTTACTTAGGTTTCTGAATGATGTTCTAACTTTTCCCAGTGTAGAGTACGCTGCTGTCATTATCCTATTTATATGTGCTTCAGGAGATAGATTGGGTGTTACATCCACGCCCAGGTCTCTTTCACGCGTCGTCACAGGTAGGCAGTGCCCCTTCATTGTGTACTGTCCCACTGGTCTCCTATCACCTAGTCCCATTTCCATAACTTTACATTTGCTCCTGTTGAACTCCCGTGTTGTGTGTGTGTGTGTGTGTGTGTGTGTGTGTGTGTGTGTGTGTGTGTGTGTGTGTGTGTGTGTGTGTGTGTGTGTGTGTGTGTATGTGTGTGTGTATGTGTGTGTGCGTATGTGTATGTGTATGTGTGTGTGTGTATGTGTGTGTGTGTGTGTACTCACCTAGTTGTACTCACCTAGTTGTGTTTGCGGGGGTTGAGCTCTGGCTCTTTGGTCCCGCCTCTCAACCGTCAATCAACAGGTGTACAGATTCCTGAGCCTATCGGGCTCTGTCATATCTACACTTGAAACTGTGTATGGAGTCAGCCTCCACCACATCACTTCCTAATGCATTCCATTTGTCAACCACTCTGACACTAAAAAAGTTCTTTCTAATATCTCTGTGGCTCATTTGGGCACTCAGTTTCCACCTGTGTCCCCTTGTGCGTGTTCCCCTTGTGTTAAATAGACTGTCTTTATCTACCCTATCAATCCCCTTCAGAATCTTGAATGTGGTGATCATGTCCCCCCTAACTCTTCTGTCTTCCAGCGAAGTGAGGTTTAATTCCCGTAGTCTCTCCTCGTAGCTCATACCTCTCAGCTCGGGTACTAGTCTGGTGGCAAACCTTTGAACCTTTTCCAGTTTAGTCTTATCCTTGACTAGATATGGACTCCATGCTGGGGCTGCATACTCCAGGATTGGCCTGACATATGTGGTATACAAAGTTCTGAATGATTCTTTACACAAGTTTCTGAATGCCGTTCGTATGTTGGCCAGCCTGGCATATGCCGCTGATGTTATCCGCTTGATATGTGCTGCAGGAGACAGGTCTGGCGTGATATCAACCCCCAAGTCTTTTTCCTTCTCTGACTCCTGAAGAATTTCCTCTCCCAGATGATACCTTGTATCTGGCCTCCTGCTCCCTACACCTATCTTCATTACATTACATTTGGTTGGGTTAAACTCTAACAACCATTTGTTCGACCATTCCTTCAGCTTGTCTAGGTCTTCTTGAAGCCTCAAACAGTCCTCTTCTGTTTTAATCCTTCTCATAATTTTAGCATCGTCCGCAAACATTGAGAGAAATGAATCGATACCCTCCGGGAGATCATTTACATATATCAGAAACAAGATAGGACCGAGTACAGAGCCCTGTGGGACTCCACTGGTGACTTCACGCCAATCGGAGGTCTCACCCCTCACCGTAACTCTCTGCTTCCTATTGCTTAGATACTCCCTTATCCACTGGAGCACCTTACCAGCTACACCTGCCTGTCTCTCCAGCTTATGTACCAGCCTCTTATGCGGTACTGTGTCAAAGGCTTTCCGACAATCCAAGAAAATGCAGTCCGCCCAGCCCTCTCTTTCTTGCTTAATCTGTTGTGTGTGTGTGTGTGTGTGTGTGTGTGTGTGTGTGTGTGTGTGTGTGTGTGTGTGTGTGTGTGTGTGTGTGTGTGTGAGTCATATGCTTTATTACCAATGTGGGAAGATACAAGGGTGTTCACCCTGGAGCTTCTGTCACGCCGACTTTTGTCCGTCCCCGTGGCAGGCAACGGCTTACACGCTAGCACACACACGCAGTTATGTACCCTAAATAAACACAATACACTCATATACGTTACACACACACACACACACACACATATATATATATATATATATATATATATATATATATATATATATATATATATATATATATATATATATATATATATATATATATATATATATATATATATATATATATATATATATATATACGCTAACAAGCCTGAATGGTCCCCAGGACTATATGCAACTGAAAACTCACACCCCATAAGTGACTGGAACTCATACTGCCAGGAGCACTCTGCTGGCGTACAGGATCCCGTAACCGCTCGACCAACACGACCGGACAAAAGAGGATGGTAGCCGAGGCTATTTCCATTCCCCCGCCGGTACTCGGTTGGTAATCTTGGGCATGGTATTTTATCAAATCACCTCATTCTTTGGGGCACACGTGAGGAACACAAATGCGAACAAGCCTGAATGGTCCCCAGGACTATATGCAACTGAAAACTCACACCCCAGAAGTGACTCGAACTCATATTGCCAGGAGCACTCTGCTGGCGTACAGGATCCCTCAACCGCTCGACCAACACGACCGGACAAAAGAGGATGGTAGCCGAGGCTATTTCCATCCTCCCGCCGGCACTCGGCATTTAAGATCTTCCAGAGGGAATAGACACTCATTCCTCTCAATTTTGATGATGATGCAATAATTATGAGGAGAATTAAGATTGAGGAAGATAGTATGAGGATGATCTAGACAAAACGTAGGAATGATCCAACAAATAGCTACTAAATTTCAACCAAAGTATATGTAAGGTAATGAAACTAGATGGAGGGAACAGAAGACCAGACACAGGGTACTGAACGGGAGACGAAATCCTTCATGAAACGGACAGAGATAATGATCTAGGAGTTGATATCAGGCCTAACCTACTCCTGAATCCCACATCAAAATAATATCACCAGCGGCGTATGCGAGGCTGGCTGACATCAGAACTGCCTCTATGAACACGTAAGAAATCATTCAGAATCTTGTATACTACATACGTAAGACCAGCCCTGGAGTATGCAGCTCCAGCATGGAGCCCATACCTTATCAAGCATAGGACGAAGCTGGAGAAGATTCAGTGGTATGCCACCAAACTAATTCCAGAACTAAGAGGCATGAGTTACGTGGAAAGGTTACGTGAACCTCACGTCGCTGGAAGATAGAAGAGTTCGGTGAGACATGATTATCACATACAAAATTCCCCAGGGAAATTGACAAGGAAGATAAGGACATTTTATTTATCACGGGTGGTACACGCACACGGGGACACAGGTGGAAACTGAGTACCCAAATGACCCAGACGGCTTTTTCAAATGGAGTGAAAAAGTTGGGCTCGAGCATACAAGTGGAAACTGGAAACGCAACTATAGAGATGTGAGGAAATACCCGCACGTAGTGTGTGTGTGGTCAACACGTAGAATGTAATAGAAGAAGTTGTGGAA